AGTCTGGGTAGATGTAAGGAGAAACAGAACTTGCTAGATGAAGGAAAAGATGACCCTGGAAGGTACAACTCAAACCCAGTGTGCCTGCAAAGTGTGTCTATCAAAGAGACCACAGCATCTGCTGTCGGGAGCTGGATAAACTGGAATCTCATAACCTAAGGCTGCAGCAGCTTTGGAAAATAGCTTGAGGTTCTTTAGAAAATCAAATAGAAGTACCATTTGACTCAGCAATGAAGAGTTTGAAAACATGTTCACATAGAAATGTGTATGCTAATATTCATGACAACACTCTTCACAATGATAGAAAAGTGGAAAGAGCCCACTGACGAGTGAAAAAAGTGTGGCCCATCCAGACAGTGGGATTTTTAGGTGCCATCCTGTCGGTTTCGACTCATAGAGACTTACAGAAGGAAACCTTGTCTTGTCCTGCATGACCCTCACAATCTGTGCTGTGCGGGAACCCATTGCTGCTTTCCAAGTTGACTCATCTGCTTCCTGGGCTATGACAAGGAATGAAGTGGTTAACCTTGAGGACATGATGCAAGTTAATAGGCTTCTCAAGTATCACAATAAGCAGATCAAGAAAGACAGGTCCTCGGTCAGTGGTTGTCTGTCTTTGGGGATTGGGAAGCTGCATCCGGGTTGTTGCTAGGTGCCTTCAAGTGAGTCAACTTGGACTCATCACCTTTCTTTGAGCCATAGCTCGGAACATTCTCCTGTCCTGCCCCAGCCTCATCATCTCTGATAGGCTTGAGGTCGGTTGTTTATTTAAATAAAAATTTTATTTTATTCTAGTTTACTTACAAAGTTTGCATACATTGTTTTTCACACTGGATCCTTCCTATTTCTTTTACCCACCCCTCCCTTCACTCGTGATTGTATGAACTTATGATTAACACCTCCTACCCATCCTGAACACTTTACTCCTCCCCTTCCCTCCTTCAATCCTTATACCTGTTCTACAAGAATGGTTTTATACCATATTTGTCCTAATGTGACTGAGTTACTTCACTTAGCATAATAATACTCTCCAGTCCCTCCCAAGTTAGGTAGTGATTTACAGAATCATTGATCCTACGTGCTGCGTAGTATTCCTTGGTGTGAATGTACCATAATTTCTCAATCCATTGGATTGTGGTTGGACTTTTGGGCTATTTCCATGTTCTTGCATCCACTTCTTTTTTTCTTTTTCTTTTTTTTTTTTCCCCCTCCCCCCTGCATCCACTTCTGTAATAGCTTGCCTCTGGAAACCCTATGAATCTGGAGAAAGGGCAAAAGTTATACAGGTGTCCAGGTCTTTCGTTCATAGGGTCGCTATGAGTCGCCTCCGACTTGATGGCACTTAACAACAATGAGCAAGTCTCCATTTGTGTCTCAGTTTTCATTTTCTCAGGATATATACCAAGCCATGGAATAGCTGGATCATATGGAATTTCTATGTTCAGCTTTTTGAGGAAACGCCAAACTGCCTTCCAGAGTGTTTGTACCATTTTACAATCTCACCAGAAGTGCATGAGAGTTCCTATCTACACATCCTCTCCATTATTTATTACTTGCTGTCCTCTTAAACTTTGTCATTGCCATTGGAGTGAGATGGTACCTCATTGTAGTTTTGGTTTGCATCTCTCTTAATGCCAGTGATTTTGAGTATTTCTTCAGTCTGTTGGCCATCCAAATATTTTCCTCTGTGAAAAGGCTTTCCATGTCTTTTGCCCATTTTGTAATTGTATTATCAGTCTTCTTGTGGAGGCCCTGTAGTAGTCATCTGTGAACTTTTGATATGAGACTCTTGTCTGAAATGGTATTGCCAATTTTTTTCTTCCAGTCATTTGGTTTTCTTTTCACTCTGTTGGATAAAGTTTTTGATGCACACAGGGATTTAATCTTTAAAAGGTCCCATTCATCAACTTTATCCTCTCTAGATTGTGTATTTTTGGCTGTATGTGGGAGTCTCTTTATACCATAGACTAGGCCGACTAGCCTTGATCCCAGTTTGTCTCTGATGAACTTTGGTTTTGTGTTTTACTACCAGGTCTCTGATCCACCTTGATTTGTTTTTTGTGTATTGTGTGAGACATAGATCCTGTTTCAGCTTTCTGCAGGTAGCAGTCTAGTTTTGCCAGCACCATTCATTGAAGAGGTTGTCATTTCCCCATTTGATAGGTTTTATTTTCTTGTTGAACATAAGTTGACCATAGATGGCTGGCTCTTTTCTGGGTTCTCAAATCTCTTCCATTTGCCTGTGTGCCTGTCATTGTACCAGTACCATGCTGTTTTGGTTACTGTAGCTGTATGGTAGTAGGTGGGTTTGTTTGTTTGTTTGTTTGTTTGTTTGTTT